TGAAGAGGATTATTATTTTCTTTAGAAGTCTGTATTTGTCCCTGCTGGATTGCATTTTATTTTTCAGACCATTTTTCCAATTTAACAACCTTTTGATTCTAATCCTGTCTTCCAGTGTAACTGCAGACTTTCGCAGTTTGATATCATCAGGGATTTTCATAAACAAGTATTTTACTCCCCAGACCAGAAAAATTAATCTCCCTTGTCCTCTAGTAAGCCACTGACTGTTATTTTGAGTGTGCAATCTTTTTGCCAAACCAATACTTAGAAACTTCCTCGTTCATCCATGCCATTTACTGGTTAAAAGACTTGTTTAGGAAATTTAAGACAGTCATTGGTAACATCCCAGCTTCCATCTTCCTCTTTAAAAAGATGGAAGTGTGTTTGCCTTTTATATATTTTCTATCTTCTGTGTGTTCTCAAACAAGTATTCTACCAGGCTTTTTTCAAATTACTTGCTGCTCATGATATTTAGCTGAATATTCCTATGACTAGCTGAAACAGTCCAATTTATCTGTACTACTCCTTTGCTTAACTCTTTTCACCAACAAATCAAACAATGACAAAAAACCGCGCTAAACAGTATGTTTTTGACATTATCTTCTCATAGCTTTCCAAGCTTGTTAGTTCTGTCTCTCAGAAATATCTTTCAGTCATTTTTTTCTGTTTCTGATTTACTTCTAGGACTTTCAGGTGTATCAAATCTTTATTTTATTGGCTTACTTTATACCTTGTTTTTTTCCTCATGATTTTTATATTGTCATTGTGAACCCCATCTTTTTAAGATCCCTCTCATACAAGATATCTTGTATGAGTAAGACAAGATTTTGTCTTATTAATTAGAAAGCTAGAGCTCAGAGTCTTTGTAGGTGTTTTCATCGTCTGCCACGATCAGCACATATCAAGGACCATCTGGACCAATCCTTTCTCAGATAGCCCCAAAGATACTCTCTCTTTTACAATGAAGTCCTTTGCTTTGCATGTGGATGACTCTACATGCTCTTGAATGTTTTTCCCACTTGATTCTCCCGATTTTAAGGCATAAAGCAGACCCCTCTGAATTTTGTCTCCCTCTTATCACTACCTAGGTTTATGGCAGGTTATCGCCTACACTATTGACCTCAGAACCAATGTATGTAAGGCACCCCCCTTCCCTTCCTCTCTTGACAGCCCTTCCTAATGGAGTTATACACTTACTTACGGTTTTTGCTGGTAAAATTTCCTTATCCCCAAATGTACTATCCTAGGCACGTTCAGACCTCAAAAGTTTGGTACCAATCCCAACAAAACCCACAAGTCCCTTTATCTATGTCAAGGACTCAATAGTATAAGCATTCTTAGGGCACACCTACTAGATCAGAGCCCATATAAAATTTGTTGATAAGAGATTCAGCATTGTTATATTCAGAGACCATTAACTGGACCAGGTTGTGTACTTACCCATGACTCCACAGCTAAATGGTAAGAGCATTTACTTGGAAGAAAAAGGACTGTACTTCAGCAGGCATATTTTGTGGGGTGGTGGTGTTGTTTGGGGCGGGATGTGTGTTTGGGGTTTTTCGGTTTTGGGTGTTTTTTAATCTTAAGGCTAAGTATATAATTGTCATTCACTCTTGAAGAACTCCTGCAAGAGCTATCAGCAAATTCCTTCTGCAAAATATGCTACAAGTCTAAAAGAAGTGCTCTAATATAGAAGGTAAGAGGGAGGAAACTGAACCAGATGCTCCTACAGTCTTTTAAATAGGAGGTATTCAAAGGTGTGTGTTTGCAAAGCACGTATATAATTCAAGTTTGTGTGATGCAAAACAGAATGTCTTACTATTACACTGTGGTCTACATTAGTATATTCACACCCATTATTTATGCAAAAATATTGGAGGTACCTCAGAACACAACTCAAACTTTATGTTAGATAACAGTGAATTAAACAATAACTTTAATATTTATCGTAAGTCAGTAAAAGGAAGCACAGAAGTTTCATTTAAAAAACATCCTTTACAAATATTGATCTATACTAATCAGTCAATTCCATAGCCTCTGCTCAAGTTAAAACTCTTTTTCCCATGCATGTATGTGTGGGGTGTCCAGGAAGAATGCTTCTCCTAAACCGTTCTAATTCTAGGTATTTTATATTGATTTTGTTTAATGCTCCTGAAAATAAATAGTATCACTCTTAAAAAGAAAAAAGTTCGCTCACAGAAGACATACTTGCACGACATTTGCACCCTTCCTGCACACGATATAGTCATTACCTTTACTGATTAAAGTTTACTTCATAACCAACATATTAAACTTGTTTTAATGCTTTAAAAACCTCTTCTTTTACAGATAGACTTAACTACAATAATAAATTTAGATAAATGTTCTCAAGCCAAAAAGACTATTATCTTCAGATGCACACTAACTGCTCTTAGAAAACCCAGAGTGTGCACACATCCTCTTGACAGATGCTAGACACAAGAGGGCTAGTTAACCCAGTCTTTCTGAGTTTAGGTTGTAATCAGGCTCCTCAAGGCCCCTAGGAAGAGCTTAATTGCAAACCAAATTGGAGTCTAGACTGCTGAGATGGTTGTTGGCCATTGTACTTCTTAGTGGCTTATAATTTTGAAGCTATGAAAGTGCCTACAAAATCATGCAACCTGAGCAAGGGAAGCAGTTAGTTTTTCTCTTGCACTAAGGAACTTAAAATAAAATACCAGAGCTTTTTGAGCACTATTCAGTACCAAAGTTTTTTTCAAGCCTCATAGCTACCATAAACTATGGAACCACTGTAAACTTATTTTATACCAGACACTTACTACTTTCTTGAATGGGTACGTGGCTGAAGTGAAGATGAGAATAAACATCCTCATGAAGCACTAAATATGCAGAAAGGAGATCTGAAAAGGGCTGGAAGGAACTTTAGACTCTTGCTGTCACAAATAACTGTATTATACCATTTGGTCATTCATTATGCATGATGAAGTTAGATTCTGCTTACTCCTGGTAAAAGGTAATTCCAGAATCTGTTCTGACTTACAGTCTAAGTTTATTAATTTTTTTGGTGACTCTTTTTGCAAGGCCTGACACAAACCCAGAAACTCCCCAGACTCCAGAAAAGATTTTGAGCCACTTCATCGCTGTTAACTTAACAGAGCAGCAGGAACCAAGATATCTAGAAAGGGCCTGGAAAAGTCACAAATTTGATTCTCTTGTGCAACCAGCAGATATCAACTTATTGACACTGTGAAAAGAAGCTGCAATAGCAATTAATAAAAAGGAAGATGAGAGGAGAAACAAATGGGGAAGAAGGAAAATAAGGAACTCTAATTTTGTTCAACAAAAAGGTTAGCTTTAGTTTTAGCAAGAAAAAGGTTAGCTTCCCCATACATGAATTAGTGTTTCAAACTTGTAATTGAGGAGTATACAATCGCACAACACAAGCTGAGTGCAACTCTTCAGCTGAAAATGAAAAAAATTCCCTCCTAATGTAGATACTACAACTGCCGAGTATGTGGAAGAGGAGGCTGAAGAGGAAAAGAAAATGTAAGATGCAAATTATAAGTATCCAGACAACATCTCTGGGCTGGCCGCACAACTAAATTATTTTAGAATAGACTAGAATAGACTATTTCAGTTGGAAGGGACCTACAACAATCATCTAG